ATTTTGTGATACCACAATTTGTTTCACAAAATATGCATTCTCACATCTCTATTATTATTTAAGTAGTCATTTTAAAAAATAATTTTTATTTTGAAAATTGTTACATGATATGCTATTACAAATAACAAAAATAATTAAAATAAGAAAGGATATAATTGTCACACGAACTTTTTGAAACTCATGCGAATATTCCTGACCCGTTAATATGCATTTAATTTTTAATATATTATTTATGTTTTTGGTCATATTCTAGTGTTTTATAACGGTTTTAAAACGAATTTGGATATTTTAGATATTAAAAAATTTGGATCCGAGAATTTGTTTCTCGGATTTGGCAAAACTGGATCCAAATCCGGCTATCTTAAAATTTTATGGTTTATTATTCATATCTATCGAATCATATAAAGAAAGTAAATTATTTAAAATAATAATAAATAAATACATTAATATATAAACTATTATTTATAAAGAGTGTCTTTTCATATTTTTGTTAAATTAATGGATGATATTTACTATGAGAATTAAAGTATAATAACACAAAATATAATAAGTTATAAATTAATAAATGACTTGATGATGTGTCAAAATTTTAGAGTTTGAGAAAATGATGTGGCATCATGAGAAGAGAGAACATTTTACTTTATATATATAGATATGAGTTAGAATCTAGGGTAACGGTGACTACCTAATATATTACCAATTTTGGTACTAAGTTTTACATATATTCCAAAATGAGTTTTCAAATCAGTGTCTAATTTATCTGTTAGCCAAAAATATTGTGAATATTTTTAAGGAAGGTGATCCCCATTTATTTGTACGTAATTTATCGAATATATAGATTTTTGTATATTTAAAATATTTTTTAATCTGTGTGAAATGTAGATTAGAGTTTACTCTATTTTTAATATCTCCTTAACAGCACACATATGGCTCATAGTATCTGTGTTTAACTTTATCTTCTTTTTGATTGAAACTCTAAATCTGATAGTATCACTTGGGACATTTCGAAAAGCATTAATTACAAGGGATGGTCGTTTCCAATCATTTTTAGCTATGGATGGATCCGCATGGCTTCATGAGAGATTATATCGGGAAGCATGTGCCAGAGTATATTTAAGATTGAGAAACTTGGAAATGGAAGCATGTTAGAATCATTGGAGACTGATGCTTTATTAATATGGTTGCTTGTTCCTCTATTTTTGTTTACGAGACTCTTTGTCTTTTTGTTTTTGATTAATTATATTCAATGTGAAAAATATCTATATGATATGTTGAAACATTGTTTTCTTAACAAAAGAATGTCTTATAAAACAAATTGAGTATTATATATTTTTTTTGGATATTTCTTTTCATTGTTCATCGATTTTATTGTCTGCTACTATCTTTATTTTTGGATGTAAGAAAATATTGTTTAGCTCCTGATTCTGTGAATTTTTTTTGCTTCATATCTGTATTATAGTTCTCTAGATGGATGAAGTAAATCAAGATACATAGTCTTTCTCAACTTTTTAATGGCGTAAGAAGCAAGCCATTAATTTTCACAAAAATATATCAATGTGTACAAGTTATATATAGATATATGTATTGGTTTGTGTTGAGTATGCTTATTAATAATTAATAAAAAAAATATTAGAAAAGTGTGTCCATATGTTTTTTTTAACATCATATATTATGAAGTCTCATATTGTCTATATAACTGATTATATTTCTTTTTCAGAAATCCATATTCATAATGAAATAACATGTTGAAGAGAAATGAAGAATATATATACAGTTCTATAGATCAATATATACAATTCTACAGAACGATGTACTTTTAAAGAATAAAACATGCTAGCTTTTTTATTTTATTTTTGTAACCAAACATGCTAGCTATCTTATCTATGCTTTTACAGAACCCCAAAATTTCTTCTAATTGTTTACGTATTTCTTCTCATTTGAAAGAATTTATTCTCTTGTATTTTCTAGTTTTTATGACATAAAGTTACATTTTCGAGTGAAATTTTCTTAAATTAAGTTTCATTCATAAAATATATAGTGTTTGAGTTGCATTAAAACATTTATCCATATTAACTCACTAAAATCATGAAGATTGTGAGAATGACCAATTCAGAATTTTAGATATATATTCATGTATAATAACCAATAAAAAGATAATTTTTTTGTCACATATATAAAGTATCTTCAATTTGTGTATGTGCATATATATAATTATCATAATATTTATGTACATAGATTGGCTACTTTTTTTTTGTCACTAGATTGGCTACTTAAACAAGAAAAATGACATATCAAATATGTCAGTGATCTTATTTATCTTTAACTACTAAAAAATTATAATGAATTCATCTCAAGTTTAAGCGTTTAGTTTGAAAATCCTACAACAACCAAAAAAAAAAGTCAAAATTGATAAATGCATAAAATCTATGATATATAAGGGAACTTCTGTTTTATGTCTTTTCTTCAATTCTCAAAAATTCATTGATAAATCTTTAGGGTTAAAACCATAATCTATAAGAAAGTAATATCAAAACCCCTAAAATATTATCTAATATATAATAGGATAAATAACTGTTGAATAAATAAATTAATTTTTTTACAAAAAAACTAAAACATAGCAAGGTATAAATTTGCTTATTTTAATGTGTAGCAAGTTATATACTGTATGTAGTTTGTTTGGGATTGAATACTCTTATTGAGCACTATAAAAGGAACATTTATATAAATCGATATTGTATGTCTAGAAAACCGTAATGACAAAAATATTCTATTTCGGAATGCACCAAGTCAAACGCATTTCGTTTCTATACAGGTAACACATGAATATTTTTGTAGCAAATCACCACACACAAACTCAAAAATTAACACTATACCACCATTTTATCCAGATCTTAATTAGATAATTGGGTTCAAAAATGTTTTTTAAAAATCTGAGGGACAAAATAATAATTTTATTCCCTTCACTTCAAGAGCAGGCCTATCTCGATAAAAACATATATACGATTTAAGCAATAGCTTGAATTGTAAAAACAAAATGCTATTTTCTAGAAAAAATTATATTTGAATAGATTTTGTTACATTGTATTTCTTATAAGCAACACATAAATACATGTATCTATCAATCAATTGACCGAATGAATAATCTACCTAAAATAATAGAATGTTTATAATTCCAAATATGTTAGTATATCTTTCATTGAAAGTTTTTTTCAACTAATTTTTCTATACTATTGAAAGAGAAAATGTTGCAGATTTTGATCTAGTAATATGTTTTTACTATTATTTTTTTGTAAAACTAATAAAATTTTAGAATTAAAAATATTTTTAATAAGGTTTTTGATATTATTAAATTTGTATCAAAATATTAATTTATTAATTACAAATTTTTAAAAATATTTAATTATGCAATTGTTTTGATAAATATATACTTATTTTTTCAAAATTATATAGACATTTGATCAAACAATTGATTTCTAATTAATCAATTCAATTTATTTATTTATGGAAATTTTTAGTAATATTGAAAAAATAGTAGGAAAAAAATATTCATTGAAAGACACACTGGCATATATGAAATTATGAACATTATATTATTTTAGGTAGATTCTTCATTTGGTCAATTTATTGATAGATACATATATTTATGTATTCATAATAAGAAACGCAATGTAAAAAAATATATTCAAATATAATTATTATTAAAAGAGATATTTTACTATATATTGCTACTAAATGAGATATGCTAGTATATATTTCACTTAATATAAAAAAAAATGGTATTTTCCAAAAAAAACAATTATATTTGAATAGATTTCGTTACATTGTATTTTTTATTAGCAATACATAAATAAATGTATCTATCAATCAATTGACCAAATGAAAAACCTACCTAAAATAATAGAATTTTCATAATTCTAGATATGCTAATATATCTTTTACTGAATATTTTTGTCCTATTATTTTTTCAATATTATTAAAAAAATTTTTGCAGATATTGATCTAGTAATATATTACAGATATTTTTTGTAAAATATTTTTTAATAATATTAGAGTATTATAAAATTTTGTATCAAAACAATAATTTATTAATAATAAATTTTAAAAAATAATTTAACTATTCAATAGATTTGATAAATATATAACTAGTTTTTTTCAAAAATATATAGACCTTTGGTGAAACAATTCATTTTTCATTAATCAAATTTATTTATTTATTTCTGGAAGTTTTGATCTATAAAAACAAGATTTTTAACGTAAGTATAATGTATACTCAGATTTATTACCTAGTGTGATCTTATAATCTGAAAATTACAGCACAAGCTGGAAACAAAATATTCTCTCATCTTTTTCTGTTTTTAGTTATTTTCAACTTTCATAACCTAAACTACAGTTTTTATTGTTTAGAAAATATCGACTCTTATTATATCGTTGGACTCCTTATAATGTTAAGATATAAAAAAATCACTCTTCAAAATGGCTATTTTAAGTTTCTAACTAGATAGTAGATACAATATGTAAATTCAAAACACTAGATTTTGAACTATGAACTTAAGAGAATAATCTTTATAATGCATTAGTTTGTGGTCACTTTTCAAGTCAAAATAACTCACATTCAAAGTCTCTAATAAAGAAAACCAATTCTAAAAATATATTAAAAAGAAACTTTGACCCATTTACTAAACCAAATCTCAGATATTATCTTAAATATCTACAAATATTTTTGTAACATTGATGTACAATTGTTTTACCTATGCCATCCTATTTATATAGGTGACTAAGATATAAAAACTAATTAAATAGACTCATAATTTTATTAGTTGTAATTATTATTATTATTTTTATTTTACTCTCTATAAATAAAATAATAATATCTATAATAAAGGAGACAAATCTTTGTATCCCTCCATTACTATATAACACAACTCATCCATTAATTTAGAGCACCACTAACACAAAGCAAACAAACAGACAAAAAAAAAACTTTTTTAAAAAAGTCTATCATGACGAGGAAGAAGGTGAAACTTGCTTTCATTGAAAATAACTCGTCGAGGAAAGCAACCTTTCAAAAAAGAAAGAAAAGCTTGCTGAAGAAAGCGAAGGAGCTCTCGACTCTCTGTGGTGTCACTGCCTGTGCCATCATCTACAGTCCTAATAACTCCAATCCAGATGTGTGGCCATCGACTTCTGGTGTGCGAAGGATAGTTTCGGATTTCCAGACGTTGCCGGAGATGGACCAACAAAAAAAAATGGTGGACCAAGAGACCTTTCTCAGACAGAGGATCGCCAAATTGTCCGAGAATCTGAGGAAACTGGGGAAGGATAACAGGGAGCAAGAGATGATTGAAGTCATGTTCCAATGTTGGGATAGTAGCCTGGAGAGGTTTCATCTCAATATTTTGGATCTCAATGACTTAGGTTATGTGATTGACCAATATCAAAGATATATTAATCACAAAATCGAGATATTGGAGAGTTCTAGTATGGAGATGGGTGAATCTTCTAATAATGCTGTCACTGCAGCTGCGGCTCACTTTTCAGAAGGCATTGGATCTTTGGCAGTTGCTTTGGCTACAACCGCACCAGCTGCTACGATTCATGAGGTTTATTCTTCCTCCTCTTCTGCTGCTGCCGCAGTTTATTTTAACTCTATTCAGCAACAGCAACATCATCATCAACATCAACAATTTCGTCATCCTGCCACTCCACATGTTGGGTTCTATGAGCAAACTCGAAATATGAATCTGAGTCAAATTCATAATCAGATCCCGCAACAACGGTTTATGGAGATGATGAACAACCATCCTGAGCAAATGAATTATGCATCTCAGCATATGGATAACCACCACAACCCCAACCACCACAACCCCTTCCACCACCACCAGCACCACCACCACTATCACTACCCTCAACAGCAACAACAGCAAATCCCCGGTGATTCCTCTACTGCTCTGACCACAGCCAGCTCAAGCAGTATCATCCCTGTTACCAGTCCAAATTTTACCAATAATACATGGTTCCCTTAGTGTTTCGAGAATGGACATTCACATTTTGATAAGCAAAAAATAAAATAATTCTCAAGTGCTTTTGCAATTAAGTTTTTTTGTTACTTTTTTTTATTTATCGTTGTGGTTTTATTTTATTATCTGAATGATTATGATTTTTCATTTTATGGATTTGTGATATGTGTCATTTTCATTTAATAATATATGATTTCGTTAGCGTTTAAAAAATGTCGACGTTCACAATATGATAAGTAAACTATATATATATATATGTATATAAATGCTTTTGCATTTTAGTTTTTTAGTTTAAGTTTACCTAAGATAAGAGTTAGAATCTAGGGTAACGGTGACTACCTAATATATTACCAAATTTGGTACTAAATTTTACATAAATTTCAAAATGAGTTTTCTAATCAAATGTCTAATTTATCTGTTAGCCAAAAATATTATGAATGTTTTTAAGGCAGGTATCACCCATTCAATTGTACGTAATTTATTGAATCTATAAATTTTTATATTTAAAATATTTTTTTAATCTGTGTGAAATGTAGATTAGGGTTTACTTATTTTTAATAGCGCCTAACAACACACATTTAGCTCCCAGTATCTGTGTTTAACTTTATCTTGTGATGGAAACTCTAAAATCTAATAGGATCACTTGGGACATCTCAAAAAGCATTAATTACAAGAGATGATCGTCTCCAATCATATTTGGCTATGGGTGAATCAGCATGGCTTCATGAGAGATTATACAAAGACGCATGTGCCACATGATATTTAAGATTGAGAAACATGGAAGTGGAAGCATGTTAAAATCATTGGAGACTGATGCTTTATTTATATGGTTCTTTGTTCCTCTGTTTTTGCTTTATGAGACTGTTTGTTCTTTTGTTTTTGATTAATTATTATCCAATGTGAATAAATCTATATGTAATATGTTGAAACACTGTTTTTTTAACAAAAAAAAATGTCTTGTAAAACAAATTGAGTATTATATAATTTTTTTTTGGATATTTTTGTTCATCAATTTTATTTTCTGCTACTATCTTTATTTTTGGATGTAAAAAAATATTGTTTATATCTTGGGTCAAAAAATAATATATTTTTTGTGAATTTTGTTGCTTCATATCTGTATTATAGTTCTCTAGATTGATGAAGTAAATCAAGATTAATAGTCTTTCTCAACTCTCTAGCTGCGCAAGAAGCAAGCCATTATTTTTCACAAAAATATATCAATGTATACAAGTTATATATAGATATATGTATTGATTTAATTTGTGTTGAGTATGCATATTAATGATAAATAAAAAAAACATTAGCAATGACCATATATTTCTTTTAACATAATATATATATGAACTATCATATTGTCTATATAACTGATTATATTTCTTTTTCAGAAGTCCATATTCATAATGAAATAACATGTTGAAGAGAGATGAAAAATATATACAGTTCTATAGATCATCAATATATACAGTTCTACAGAACGATATACTTTTAAAGAATACAACATGCTAGCTATCTTATCTATGCTTTTATAGAACTCCAAATTTTCTTCTATCTTTTACGTATTCTTGTTCATTTGAAAGAGTTTATTCTCTTGTATTTTCTAGTTTTTATTACATTGAGTTACATTTTCCAGTGAAATTTTCTTAATTAAAGTCTCATTCATAAAATATATGGTTATTGTTAAAATTACATATTGATCTCTTGCAATGATTCAACACTAGGTCTAGTAATACCTGCTAGATCAGAACCATACTCTATAAGAAAGTAATATCAAAACCCCTAAAATATTATCTAATATATAATAGGATAAATAACTGTTGAATAAAATAAATTAATTTTTTTACAAAAAAACTAAAACATAGCAAGGTATACATTTGCTTATTTTAATGTGTAGCAAGTTATATACTGTATGTAGTTTGTTTGGGATTGAATACTCTAATTGAGCACTATAAAAGGAACATTTATATAAATCGATATTGTATGTCTAGAAAACCCTAATGACAAAAATATTCTAATTCGGAATGCGCCAAGTCAAACGCATTTCGTTTCTATACAGGTAACACATGAATATTTTTGTAGCAAATCACCACACACAAACTCAAAAATTAACACTATACCACCATTTTATCCAGATCTTAATTAGATAATTGGGTTCAAAAATGTTTTTTAAAAATCTGAGGGGCAAAGTAATAATTTTATTCCCTTCACTTCAAGAGCAGGCCTATCTCGATAAAAACATATATACGATTTAAGCAATAGCTTGAATTGTAAAAACAAAATGCTATTTTCTAGAAAAAATTATATTTGAATAGATTTTGTTACATTGTATTTCTTATAAGCAATACACAAATACATGTATCTATCAATCAATTGACCGAATGAAGAATCTACCTAAAATAATAGAATGTTTATAATTCCAGATATATTAGTATATCTTTCATTGAATGTTTTTTTTTCTACTAATTTTTCTATACTATTGAAAGAGAAAATGTTGCAGATTTTGATCTAGTAATATGCTTTTACTATTATTTTTTGTGAAACTAATAAACTTTTAAAATTAAAAATATTTTTAATAAGGTTTTTGATATTATTAAATTTGTATCAAAATAATAATTTATTCAATATAAATTTTTAAAAATATTTAATTATGCAATAGTTTTGATAAATATATACTTATTTTTCAAAATTATATAGACGTTTGATCAAACAATTGATTTTTAATTAATCAATTCAATTTATTTATTTATGGAAATTTTTAGTAATATTGAAAAAATAGTAGGAAAAAATATTCAGTGAAAGACACACTGGCATATATGAAATTATGAACATTATATTATTTTAGGTAGATTCTTCATTTGGTCAATTGATTGATAGATACATATATTTATGTATTCATAATAAGAAACGAAATGTTACAAAAATATATTTAAATATAATTATTATTAAAAGAGATATTTTACTATATATTGCTACTAAATGAGATATGCTAGTATATCTTTCACTTAATATCAAAACAAAATGCAATTTTCCAAAATACTATTTTCCAAAAAAAACAATTATATTTGAATAGATTTCGTTACATTGTATTTTTTATTAGCAATACATAAATATATGTATCTATCAATCAATTGACCAAATGAAGAACCTACCTAAAATAATAGAATTTTCATAATTCTAGATATGCTAATATATCTTTTACTGAATATTTTTGTCCTATTATTTTTTCAATATTATTAAAAATGTTTTTGCAGATATTGATAAGTAATATATTACAGATATTTTTTTAAAAATATTTTTTTAATAATATTAGAGTATTATAAAATTTTGTATCAAAACAATAATTTATTAATAATAAATTTAAAAAAATAATTTAACTATTCAATAGATTTGATAAATATATAACTAATTTCTTTCAAAAATATATAGACCTTTGGTGAAACAATTCATTTTTCATTAATCAAATTTATTTATTTATTTCTGGAATTTTTGATCTATAAAAACAAGATTTTTAACTTAAGTATAATGTATACTCAGATTTATTACCTAGTGTGATCTTATAATCTGAAAATTACTGCACAAGCTGGAAACAAAATATTCTCTCATCTTTTTCTGTTTTTAGTTATTTTCAACTTTCATAACCTAAACTACAGTTTTTATTGTTTAAAAAATATCGACTCTTATTATATCTTTGGACTCCTTATAATGTTAAGATATAAAAAAATCACTCTTCAAAATGGCTATTTTAAGTTTCTAACTAGATAGTAGATACAATATGTAAATTCAAAACACTAGATTTTGAACTATGAACTTAAGAGAATAATCTTTATAATGCATTAGTTTGTGGTCACTTTTCAAGTCAAAATAACTCACATTCAAAGTCTCTAATAAAGAAAACCAATTCTAAAAATATATTAAAAAGAAACTTTGACCCATTTACTAAACCAAATCTCAGATATTATCTTAAATATCTACAAATATTTTTGTAACATTGATGTACAATTGTTTTACCTATGCCATCCTATTTATATAGGTGACTAAGATATAAAAACTAATTAAATAGACTCATAATTTTATTAGTTGTAATTATTATGATTATTTTTATTTTACTCTCTATAAATAAAATAATAATATCGATAATAAAGGAGACAAATCTTTGTATCCCTCTATTACTATATAACACAACTCATCCATTGATTTAGAGCACCACTAACACAAAGCAAACAAACAGACAAAAAAAAAACTTTTTTAAAAAAGTCTATCATGACGAGGAAGAAGGTGAAGCTTGCTTTCATTGAAAATAACTCGTCGAGGAAAGCAACCTTTCAAAAAAGAAAGAAAAGTTTGCTGAAGAAAGCGAAGGAGCTCTCGACTCTCTGTGGTGTCACTGCCTGTGCCATCATCTACAGTCCTAATAACTCCAATCCAGATGTGTGGCCATCGACTTCTGGTGTGCGAAGGATAGTTTCGGATTTCCAGACGTTGCCGGAGATGGACCAACAAAAAAAAATGGTGGACCAAGAGACCTTTCTCAGACAGAGGATCGCCAAATTGTCCGAGAATCTGAGGAAACTGGGGAAGGATAACAGGGAGCAAGAGATGATTGAAGTCATGTTCCAATGTTGGGATAGTAGCCTGGAGAGGTTTCATCTCAATATTTTGGATCTCAATGACTTAGGTTATGTGATTGACCAATATCAAAGAGATATTAATCACAAAATCGAGATATTGGAGAATTCTAGTATGGAGATGGGTGAATCTTCTAATAATGCTGTCACTGCGGCTGCGGCTCATTTTTCAGAAGGCATTGGATCTTTGGCAGTTGCTTTGGCTACAACCGCACCAGCCGCTACGATTCATGAGGTTTATTCTTCCTCCTCTTCTGCTGCTGCCGCAGCTTATTTTAACTATATTCAGCAATAGCAACATCATCATCAACATCAACAATTTCGTCATCCTGCCACTCCACATGTTGGGTTCTTTGAGCAAACTCGAAATATGAATCTCAGTCAAATTCATAATCAGATCCCGCAACAACGGTTTATGGAGATGATGAACAACCATCCTGAGCAAATGAATTATGCATCTCAGCATATGGATAACCACCACAACCCCAACCACCACAACCCCTCCACCACCACCAGCACCACCACCACTATCACTACCCTCAACAGCAACAACAACAAATCCCCGGTGATTCCTCTACTGCTCTGACCACAGCCAGCTCAAGCAGTATCATCCCTGTTACCAGTCCAAATTTTACCAATAATACATGGTTCCCTTAGTGTTTCGAGAATGGACATTCACATTTTGATAAGCAAAAAATAAAATAATTCTCAAGTGTTTTTGCAATTAAGTTTTTTTGTTACTTTTTTTTATTTATCGTTGTGGTTTTATTTTATTATCTGAATGATTATGATTTTTCATTTTATGGATTTGTGATATGTGTCATTTTCATTTAATAATATTTGATTTCGTTAGCGTTTAAAAAATGTCGATGTTCACAATATGATAAGTAAACTATATATATATGTATATAAATGCTTTTGCAATTTAGTTTTTTAGTTTAAGTTTACCTAAGATAAGAGTTAGAATCTAGGGTAACGGTGACTACCTAATATATTACCAAATTTGGTACTAAATTTTACATAAATTTCAAAATGAGTTATCTAATCAAATGTCTAATTTATCTGTTAGCCAAAAATATTATGAATGTTTTTAAGGCAGGTATCACCCCATTCAATTGTACGTAATTTATTGAATCTATAAATTTTTATATTTAAAATATTTTTTTAATCTGTGTGAAATGTAGATTAGGGTTTACTTATTTTTAATAGCGCCTAACAACACACATTTAGCTCCCAGTATCTGTGTTTAACTTTATCTTGTGATGGAAACTCTAAAATCTAATAGGATCACTTGGGACATCTCAAAAAGCAAGAATTACAAGAGATGATCGTTTCCAATCATATTTGGCTATGGGTGAATCAGCATGGCTTCATGAGAGATTATACAGAGACGCATGTGCCACATGATATTTAAGATTGAGAAACATGGAAGTGGAAGCATGTTGAAATCATTGGAGACTGATGCTTTATTTATATGGTTCCTTGTTCCTCTGTTTTTGCTTTATGAGACTGTTTGTTCTTTTGTTTTTGATTAATTATTATCCAATGTGAATAAATCTATATGTAATATGTTGAAACACTGTTTTTTTAACAAAAAAAAATGTCTTGTAAAACAAATTGAGTATTATATAATTTTTTTTTGGATATTTTTGTTCATCAATTTTATTTTCTGCTACTATCTTTATTTTTGGATGTAAAAAAATATTGTTTATATCTTGGTTCAAAAAATAATATATTTTTTGTGAATTTTGTTGCTTCATATCTGTATTATAGTTCTCTAGATTGATGAAGTAAATCAAGATTAATAGTCTTTCTCAACTCTCTAGCTGCGCAAGAAGCAAGCCATTATTTTTCACAAAAATATATCAATGTATACAAGTTATATATAGATATATGTATTGATTTAATTTGTGTTGAGTATGCATATTAATGATAAATAAAAAAAACATTAGCAATGACCATATATTTCTTTTAACATAATATATATATGAACTATCATATTGTCTATATAACTGATTATATTTCTTTTTCAGAAGTCCATATTCATAATGAAATAACATGTTGAAGAGAGATGAAAAATATATACAGTTCTATAGATCATCAATATATACAGTTCTACAGAACGATATACTTTTAAAGAATATAACATGCTAGCTATCTTATCTTTGCTTTTATAGAACTCCAAATTTTCTTCTATCTTTTACGTATTCTTGCTCATTTGAAAGAGTTTATTCTTTTGTATTTTCTAGTTTTTATTACATTGAGTTACATTTTCCAGTGAAATTTTCTTAATTAAAGTCTCATTCATAAAATATATGGTTATTGTTAAAATTACATATTGATCTCTTGCAAAGATTCAACACTAGGTCTAGTAATACCTGCTAGATCAGAACCATACTCTATAAGAAAGTAATATCAAAACCCCTAAAATATTATCTAATATATAATAGGATAAATAACTGTTGAATAAAATAAATTAATTTTCTTACAAAAAACTAAAACATAGCAAGGTATACATTTGCTTATTTTAATGTGTAGCAAGTTATATACTGTATGTAGTTTGTTTGGGATTGAATACTTTTATTGAGCACTATAACAGGAACATTTATATCAATCGATATTGTATGTCTAGAAACCCCTAATAACAAAAATATTCTAATTTGGAATGCGTCAAGTCAAACGCATTTCGTTTCTATACAGGTAACACACACTACAGTAAAATAAGGTATTATTAGCATCGGAAAAACGCTATCTAACAATACCATAGCGGTTTTAAGAATGCTCTATCATCGCCCGTCATAATAGCTCGGCCACATTAGATAGCAGTTTTTAGTCATGCTATTATTTCATCATTTAATATAGCACTTTTTTATCTGCAATTATATATTCTACAATAGCATTTCCATTTTGTTATTAATATTATTATTCATATCGATTTGGGTTTACATTTTGAATTTTAAATTTTGAATTTTGAATTTTAAATTCCATAAAAATTTCAATTCACAAGGGCAAAAAAATAATCATTAATAGTAGCAGTATTTTACAAAAAAAAAAAAAAAAAACACATTAAATACTTAAATTATTTAAAACAGAAATTGTACTCATGAAACTTAGCAAACTAGATAAAGCCCACTTCATCTTCTAGTACAATTCCTTCCTCTGCTCCACAAGAATCCTTTTCAAGAGCATCTTCTACTTTCTGAAATGTAAAAGGAAAAAAAAAACAATCAGATCAAAATCCTCACCTGTACGAATGAAAGACTACAAGTAATAGAGAATCTGATACGGTTTGTAGTAGCAAAAGAGAGCTTAAAGAAGAAATAGATAGATATCTATATTTCAGAATGATCAAGTTACACGACCTGAGAGAAAATGGAGTCTCTCACCTCCCTAACAACTTTGATCAATCCTTTGATGAAACAGACGCTAATACCAGTACTCACTCTTATACTAAGGAATCTCCTAAGACACGTCACCAACATTCTCCCAACACACCACGTGAGTCGTTGCAGCACCTCGGGATCCTAGTTACCAGAGTTTATTCCTTAACCATAGTTACCTCTCGAGTAAGGTTTAGGCAGATGTCGCCTCTCCTTCTTGGGCCTTCTTCCTCCTTCGGTACTGGTACAGAATTGGTGGATGTTGGGCCTCGTAGCTATCAGAATCAAAGAAGTTTGAAGTGATAAAGAGCTCAACAGTTAAAGCTTTTGAAACCATGCTAACGTCTATAGAATTGTATGGAATGAGGCTGTGATAGAATAACTATGTGAAGAGTATACAATGCCAAGTGTAAAGACAAGTAAAATTCAGTATATATTGAATTTGATCAATCAATATAAGCTCTAAAAGAGAAAAAGCCAACTTAGCAGCGTTAATCTTGTACAACTTTAAGGTTGAGAAGCATTAAACTAGGAAATGCAAGTTTGCTTGGTTCCAATATAGTCAATTGGCTCTAAGAAAAAATCTCTACTTGAACGGTATCATTCGCTAAGCTTTTTCATCACAAACCTATGTAGGATACAAGATAGATAGGTTAGGCATAAAAATGATATATACAAAGACAGAAATGAAGGGTAAATGTCTGCTTTTTCAAACAGATTCCAGGAACTTCGTATATGAAATCAAGGCATCAAATACAAACAATACCTGCTTTCGATGTAATCTTGTAGCTGTTATCATGAATAAGAGAATAGATTTGCCACATATCAGCTTAACCAATTACATATAGGAGCTTTGCAAAGATACTAATAAACAATCCAATCAAATATCAAATAGTAACTTTGATGAGATAACGAATTTGTGTGGTTTCAGCTAGAAGCTAATATAAACAAAGAGCAAGCTTTACAGTTCAAGTAATTGGAATTCCATATATAAACTTGCTGAGAGAAGATTAAGACCATAGATGGAGAAAGAACAAGACAGCCGAAACTGGAATCGAGTTCTGTACGAGAGCTACCAGAATTTCACAACAGATTTAAATACTTTTAAGTCCAAATCCAAAGGTCCCTGAAACAAACTCACCAACAGGAGTGAGTATAAATTTGCTTACAGCACAAAGATTGAAACTTTCTACATAGTCACATAATGAATCGGAAAGGAGAAAAAGGAGCCAACTTTCTACATAATCAGATAACTGGAAGGGGGAATAAAAAAGAGACAAGGTTGACCACCAAAAGCAAAACCGAAGCGTTAAGTCAGGATGGAGAAAGTAGGTTACGAGTTGGTAATTTTGATGTAAAATGAGAAATCTCAACAGATAAAGAGCCAATCAAGGGTCGCTAGTCCTATAACTAGAAACCGAAGATCTAAACCACAAAATACCTGAGGATGAGGAATTGTGGTCTTGTAGCGGCAAGGGAGTGGCGGTGGTGTGAAGCAGCGAGAGATAAGAGGCGGCGATAGAGTGAGTTAGCGAGAGTGAGGATAGAGAGCAAGTCGGCCAGAGAGAGGGAGTCGAGAGAGGCGACCGGCAAGAGAAAGTCACGGCAAGACTGGGTGAGGCGGCAAGCGAGAGGAGAGCGTGAGATTATGAGGAGAACTCGAGAGCTGAGAGTAAGAAATTCGATAGAGATAATTAGGTTTTTGAGTAAGACCAGATCTGTGTAGCAGAAGAGTGATGCTATTAAGTTTTTGACTTAGAGAATTTTTAAAAGAGTTCAATTTTTACGCTCTCACATGGCATAGCGTTTTAAAATATGGTATGTGCAATTAAATAAAATGCTCAGAGCCAAAAAGAATTAGCGCACTCATTTTTTAAAAAACCAAATAAATCGATAACGTTTATAGATTTACAAACGCTATGTAAAAGTCAACGTTAAATAAAACATAGCACAACTGCATAAAACGCTATCTTCTAATGCTATTAATACTCGATATTCTTGTAGTGACATGAATATTTTTATAGCAAATAACCACACACAAACTCAAAAATTAACACTATACCACCATTTTATCCAGATCTTAATTAGATAATTGGGTTCAAAATTTTAAAAAAAAAATCTGAGGGTCAAAGTAATAATTTTATTCCCTTCACTTCAAGAGCAGGTCTATCTCGATATAAACATATATAAAGATTTAAGCAATAGCTTGAATTGTAAAAACAAAATGCTATTTTCCAGAAACAATTATATTTGAATAGATTTTGTTACATTGTATTTCTTATAAGCAATACATAAATACATGTATCTATCAATCAATTGACCGAATGAAGAATCTACCTAAAATAATAGATTGTTTATAATTCCAGATATATTAGTATATCTTTCATTGAATGTTTTTTTTTCTACTAATTTTTCTATACTATTGAAATAGAAAATGTTGCAGATTTTGATCTAGTAATATGTTTTTACTATTATTTTTTGTAAAACTAATAAACTTTTAGAATTAAAAATATTTTTAATAAGGTTTTTGATATTATTAAATTTGTATCAAAACAATAATTTATTAATTATAAAATTTTAAAAATATTTAATTATGCAATAGTTTTGATAAATATATACTTATTTTTTCAAAATTATATATACATTTGATCAAACAATTGATTTTTAATTAATCAATTCAATTTATTTATTTATGGAAATTTTTAGTAATATTGAAAAAATAGTAGAAAAAAAATATTCAGTGAAAGACACACTGGCATATATGAAATTATGAACATTATATTATTTTAGGTAGATTCTTCATTTGGTCAATTGATTGATAGATACATATATTTATGTATTCATAATAAGAAACGCAATGTAAAAAAAAATATATTTAAATATAATTATCATTAAAAGAGATATTTTACTATATATTGCTACTAATTGAGATATGCTAGTATATCTTTCACTTAATATCAAAACAAAAGGCAATTTTACAATACTATTTTCCAAAAAAAACAATTATATTTGAATAGATTTCGTTACATTGTATTTTTTATTAGCAATACATAAATACATGTATCTATCAATCAATTGACTAAATGAAGAACCTACCTAAAATAATAGAATTTTCATAATTCTAGATATGCTAATATATCTTTTACTGAATATTTTTGTCCTATTATTTTTTCAATATTATTAAAAATGTTTTTGCAGATATTCATCTAGTAATATATTACATCTATTTTTTGTAAAATATTTTTTTAATAATATTAGAGTATTATAAAATTTTGTATCAAAACAATTTAAAAAAATAATTTAACTATTCAATAGATTTGATAAATATATAACTAGTTTTTTCAAAATTATATAGACCTTTGGTGAAACAATTCATTTTTCATTAATCAAATTTATTTATTTATTTCTGGAATTTTTGATCTATAAAAGTAAGATTTTGAACTTAAGTATAATGTATACTCAGATTTATTACCTAGTGTGATCTTATAATCTGACAATTACAGCACAAGCTGCAAAAAATATTCTCTCATCTTTTTCTGTTTTTAGTTATTTTCAACTTTCATAACCTAAACTACACTTTTTATTGTTTAGAAAATATCTACTCTTATTATATCTTTGGACTCCTTATAATGTTAAGATATAAAAAAATCACTCTTCAAAATGGCTATTTGAAGTTTCTAACTAGATAGTAGATACAATATGTAAATTCAAAACACTAGATTTTGAACTATTGACTTAAGAGAATAATCTTTATAATGCCTTAGTTTGTGGTCACTTTTTTTTTTTGTCAACAGCCTAAGTACCTACGAGGACAGAGAAGTCCAGTTTGGAGGTACTGAGTTTACATAGATCATGTCTTGAGGGTAGACTCGAACACTGCATGCTAAGAGATCTGCCTTCATATTCTTCGCTCGTGGAATAAGGGATATAGAGAAGAAAGTGAAAGCCCCTTTACTCCTCTCAAATTCTTCTAGGTGTAATCCAAACGCTGGCCACTCCTCTGGTATAGACACCATCTTCACCAACTCGGAGCAGTCTGTGACGAACGCTACCTCCATCTTGTTGTTTGCTATCATACAATGCATCGCCCAAATGAGGGCTTCCAGCTCTGCATGTAGCGGAGATAAGCTTCGCCTGACATTTCTTGCACCCATAACAACCTCTGCATCGCCTTCTTTGCACGAATACCAACCTAAGTCGGAAGCTTTATCCGCTTCCGTCCAGGATCCATCAGTAAAACATCTCCATCCTGCATACTGCGGGATAACTCGATCCATAATTCCGATATTATTTTCAACCTGTTTCTCCTCCTTTTGTGCTTCGTTCCAGATACTTGCTTCTGTTTCCGCGATCTTCAAAGTTATTTGTGCATCTCTGTCAATATTTGAATAAACCTTATCGTTTCTTGCTTTCCAAATGTACCACAGGATCCATGCAAAATCTGTTGTTTTGTATTCCTGGGGGATTCTCCAAAATAGATGATCAAAATTTGCATAAACCGATGAGATTGGAAAGACATCCAAGGGTCTTGGGATCTTTGAGAGAGCCCAGATCTGCCTTACCGGAGGGCATTCAAATAGAACATGATTTGTGGTTTCTTCTTCCGTTCCACAAGGAGCGCACAATGTGTCACAGTTTATTCCTCGCTTCTTTATGTTTGCCAGTACTGGCAAACAGCCCGATAGTGCTTGCCAAATGAAATGTTTCAATTTTGGTGAGCACCGTAGTTTCCAGATGTGTGCCTGTAGTGGCTTTAGCTCTGGACCATAGTAAATTTCCATACTATCCTCTGATTTTTGTTGTTCTACCTGGTATCCAGATTTAACTGTATATCTACCTGATTTCGTGAAGTGCCATCCTAGTGTATCGGGTCGATAGACACGACTCGTGGGTATTCCGCGAATGATTTCCACATCTACTGGATCAATGATGGCACTAATCAATCCTAGGTTCCAGTTTGAGTGACCGGGTCAACCAGATGATTGACCATTAGATCTGGGTAGTAGTTAAACCCTTTGCATGTGGCTGGCCTCGGGCGAGAAGCTGGTATCCAAGGGTCATTCCATACTGAGATCGAACACCCTGAGCCAACTCTTTTGATTAGTCCTGTTTGAACCAGAGGTCTAGCCGATATCATGCTCCGCCACCCATAAGAAGGGGTGTAAGAGCGAATATTATCCAGTGGATTTCCGTTTCGATAATATCTTCCTTTGAAGACCCTTGCAAATAATGAGTCCGGTTTGTCCAATAATCACCAGAGTTGCTTTGCGAGTAGTGCCGTATTAAAGTCCTCTATTGATCGAAAACCCATACCCCCTGCGGTCTTATGTCGACACATTTTCTTCCAGGCTAACCAATGTATTCCTTTTTGTTGGTCGTTCGAGCTCCACCAATATCGGGCTGCTGCACTTGTAAGTTTCGTTGTTATGGATTTTGGTAATCGAAAACATGACATGACAAATGTAGGCATTGCAGATGCCACTGACTTTATCAATACCTCCTTTCCCCTTTTAGATAAGAGTTTTGCTGTCCAACCATTTATTCTGTCTTGTTGTTTTTCCGCAACAAAATTGAAAATTTTTGTTTTGGCTCCACCCAAGCTTTCAGGGAGGCCTAAATATTTTCCCATTCCTCCGATATTATCAATTCCTGTAAGCCGTCTTAGCTCATCTTGAATTGCTACTGGGACTGTATGGCCAAATTGAATTGAAGATTTTTCAAAATTTATCTGTTGTCCAGAAACCGATTCATACTGTTTAAGTATTTGTAGAATTTTTTGGCACTCTTCCGTATTTGCTTTGCAGAAAAGTAAACTATCATCCGCAAACAGTAGATGTGTAATAGCTGGGCTTGCTCTTGCTATTTTTAATCCGATTAGAGTTTTGTCCATTTCTGCCTTAGTTTGTGGTCACTTTTCAAGTCAAAATAATTCACATTCAAAGTCTCTAATAAAGAAAACTAATTCTAAAAATATATTAAAAAAAAACTTTGACCCATTTACTAAACCAAATCTCAGATATTATCTTAAATATCTACAAATATTTTTTAAACATTGATGTACAATTTTTTTACATATGCCATCCTATTTATATAGGTGACTAAGATATAAAAACTAATTAAATAGATTCATAATTTTATGAGTTGTAATTATTATTATTATTTTTATTTTACTCTCTATAAATAAAATAATAATATCTATAATAAAGGAGACAAATCTTTGTATCCCTCCATTACTATATAACACAACTCATCCATTGATTTAGAGCACCACTAACACAAAAAAAAAAACAAACAGACAACAAAAAAAACTTTTTAAAAAAAGTCTATCATGACGAGAAAGAAGGTGAAACTTGCTTTCATTGAAAATAACTCGTCGAGGAAAGCAACCTTTCAAAAAAGAAAGAAAAGTTTGCTGAAGAAAGTGAAGGAGCTCTCGACTCTCTGTGGTGTCACTGCCTGTGCCATCATCTACAGTCCTAATAACTCCATTCCAGATGTGTGGCCATCGACTTCTGGTGTGCGAAGGATAGTTTTGGATTTCCAGACGTTGCCGAAGATGGACCAACACAAAAAAATGGTGGACCAAGAGACCTTTCTCAAACAGAGGATCGCCAAATTGTCCGAGAATCTGGGGAAACTGGAGAAGGATAACAGGGAGCAAGAGATGATTGAAGTCATGTTCCAATGTTGGGATAGTAGCCTGGAGAGGTTTCATCTCAATATTTTGGATCTCAATGACTTAGGCTATGTGATTGACCAATATCAAAGAGATATTAATCACAAAATCGAGATATTGGAGAGTTCTAGTATTGAGATGGGTGAATCTTCTAATAATGCTGTCACTGCGGCTGCGGCTCATTTTTCAGAAGGCATTGGATCTTTGGCAGTTGCTTCGGCTACAACCGCACCAGCCGCTATAATTCATGAGGTTTATTCTTCCTCCTCTTCTGCTGCTGCCGCAGCTTATTTTAACTCTATTCGGCAACAGCAACATCATCATCAACATCAAAAATTTCGTCATCCTGCCACTCCACATGTTGGGTTGTATGAGCAAACTCGAAATATGAATCTGAGTCAAATTCATAATCAGATCCCGCAACAACGGTTTATGGAGATGATGAACAACCATCCTGAGCAAATGAATTATGAATCTCAGCATATGGATAACCACCACAACCCCTTCCACCACCACCAGCACCACCACCACTATCACTACCCTCAACAGCAACAACAGCAAATCCCCAGTGATTCCTCTACTGCTCTGACCACAGCCAGCTCAAGCAGTATCTTACCAGTCCAAATTTTACCAATAATACATTGTTCCTTTAGTGTTTCGAGAATGGACATTCACATTCTGATAAGCAAAAAATAAAATAATTCTCAAGTGCTTTTTCAATAAAGTTTTTTTGTTATTTTTTTTATTTATCGTTGTGGTTTTATTTTATTATCTGAATGATTATGATTTTTTATTTTATGGATTTGTGATGTGTCATTTTCATTTAATAATATATGATTTCGTTAGCGTTTAACAAATGTCGACGTTCACAGTATGATAAGTAAACTATATATATATATATATATATGTATATAAATGCTTTTGCACTTTAGTTTTTTAGTTTAAGTTTACCTAATATAAGAGTTAGGGTAACGGTGACTACCTAATATATTACCAAATTTGGTACTAAGTTTTACATAAATTTCAAAATGAGTTTTCTAATCAAATGTCTAATTTATCTGTTAGCCAAAAATATTATGAATGTTTTTAAGGCAGGTGATCCCCATTTAATTGTACGTAATTTATTGAACTATAAATTTTTGTATATTTAAAATATTTTTTTAATCTGTGTGAAATGTAGATTAGGATTTGCTTATTTTTAATAGCACCTAACAACACACATTTAGCTCCCAGTATCTGTGTTTAACTTTATCTTGTGATGGAAACTCTAAAATCTAATAGGATTACTTGGGACATCTCAAAAAGCATTAATTACAAGAGATGATCGTTTCCAATCATATTTGGCTATGGGTGAATCAGCATGGCTTCATGAGAGATTATACAGAGAAGCATGTGCCACATGATATTTAAGATTGAGAAACATGAAAGTGGAAGCATGTTGAAATCATTGGAGACTGATGCTTTATTTATATGGTTCCTTGTTCCTCTGTTTTTGCTTTATGAGACTCTTTGTTCTTTTGTTTTTGATTAATTATTATCCAACGTGAAAAAAATCTATATGTAATATGTTGAAACACTGTTTTCTTAAAAAATGTATTGTAAAACAAATTGAGTATTATATAATTTTTTTGGATATTTTTGTTCATCGATTTTATTTTCTGCTACTATCTTTATTTTTGGATGTAAGAAAAATATTGCTTATATCTTGGTTCAAAAATAATATATTTTTTTGTGAATTTTGTTGCTTCATATCTGTATTATAGTTCTCTAGATTGATGAAGTAAATCAAGATTAATAGTGTTTCTCAACTCTCTAGCTGCACAAGAAGCAAGCCATTATTTTTCACAAAAATATATCAATGTATACAAGTTATATATAGATATATGTATTGATTTAATTTGTGTTGAGTATGCATATTAATGATAAATAAAAAAACATTAGCAAAGTGTGTCCATATATTGCTTTTAACATAATATATTATGAACTATCGTATTGTCTATATAACTGATTATATTTCTTTTTCAGAAGTTCATATTCATAATGAAATAACATGTTGAAAAGAGATGAAAATATATACATCCCAAGTCGGGCCAATGTAAAAATCCATCAAATTCGATAAGATAATAAGATAATAATTTTTTTTGAAACTCTTATGTAAGTATATGGTCCCAACAAAAATATAAATTAATAATAATATAAATTTATGAATATATATATAAATTTAATATTCTAAAATATGACTAATGTGTTCGTTTTTAGTTAAATTTGAAATCTCATTGGTTCTCATCACTCTAATTATTATATCAGTAGCTTTTATTGCGGTTTTACTATATACATTCAATTATGATGATTTTTTGATGTGATAATTGATTTTCTTACATATAAATGTTTTTAAATGTATTGTAATGTTATCTTCAAATTTATCATCAATAATACTGATAGTAGCCATAGTTTTTTTTTATAATTTTTAAACTTATGAACATGTATATTTTTATATGGATAATCCAATATGGAGAAAACTATTTTATTGTGATAGTTATGATTTTTAATCATAATTTATATTATGATATTTGTTAAAATTTTAAAATATAACATTATTCCAAATAATTTTTAGAAAATTATATGCAGAAAACAATTTTTTTCTATAAATTAATAATTATTAATTTATAGATAAATTAATATCACGATAAATTAATAAAATATCATGGTCCCAACATTATTAATTTATAGAGGTTTTACTATATATACAGTTCTATAGATCATCAATATATACAGTTCTACAGAACGATATACTTTTAAAGAATACAACATGCTAGCTATCTTATCTATGCTTTTATAGAACTCCAAATTTTCTTCTATTTTTTTACGTTTTCTTGCTCATTTGAAACAGTTTATTCTCTTGTATTTTCTAGTTTTTATCTTGCTCTTATCTTGCTGTTCTTCGACAGACCCCATTCTTTGATTCAACACTTCATTGTCTTTGGTTCTTAAATCCTCCAGTGTCTTCACGTGCTCAGAGAGGTCATCAAACCTCTTGTTAAGGTCGATGGTGATGGCATCTATCCTTGTTCGCAGGGCAGCTTTGATGAGGGCTTGGGAGGCAAGGAACTGATTCAGCTTAGCTTCCAATCGATTAAGCAGGATGTTAAGTCGACTGTTCTCATAGTTCTGGTGCAGAATCTGATGAGGTAAAGGATGAGATGGTCGACGGTTCACCAGGTATGGCAAATAGGGCTCATCTTGGTGGCTTGGAGTTCGCGAGTCTCCATGGTGATGGTTCGGATTAGGGTTCCAAACATGATGATCAGAATCAAGCCTGGATGGTGATTCACATGCGCAAAGAGCTTCACACAGGTTGCAAAACCTTCGCTTGGGATTAGAGTTTCTTCTCGGATGATCCATGCTTCAAGGATTCTGAAACTAGGGCAAACAGAAGAAATAATAAGCAGAAAAATAAAAAGTGGATTCCTAATGTTGTTTTGGCAGAAAATCGACATATATATAGTCTTCTGCGGCTTCAACCTCCCAGGTTTAGACCTCCAGCGACTAAAAACCTCCCCGGCAATGGTGCCAAAAACTTGATGGGGTAGCGGGTCTAGGGTTTTTTTTAACAAACCCGTTGGTTCTCAAAAAGTTTTAAATTTATAAAACCCTAGTGTCTGCAAGTGCACAGATGTACGTTGTAGGACTTAGGGTGTCGATCCAAAGAGAGGATGTCTAATCTGTGAGAAACAACAAACTGGGAAAGTAAGCAAAGTCATAAAATCATGGAGTTTTTGGGGTTTTTGGCTAAGAATCTTTAACTAAACCTAATCTAATAGTCACAAAAAAATAAGATGCAATGCAGGATGAATTGTTAAAAGAATATCTCAAGCATATCGACTCAGACTATAGGTTTAAAACTCATGGCGATTTATACTTCTCCTGTTTACTCTAATCGATGTTTGGTGGCGTTTCCAATTAGCTTCTGGGCAATTTATTTTCATATGTTTCTGGGATCTGCATGGAACTAGAATAGACATATGTATGATTAACTCTCGCCATCTTAATCAACTAACCACTCAGATCTGACAATTAACTCTTGCTCTCATGACAGGAATAAGATCATGCATTAGATATTGAATTCATCTGCTCACATCTTCTCTATAGGTAACTCTCGACTCCTATAGCGACTATGTTCTTCTGAAACTAGTTATGGATGATCTGATGCAAGGAATGATAAAAGACATGAAAGAATGCAAAAGATGAGGTCCTATGGTCTTCCAGGTCTCATTTAGGACTTCTCTGAAGAGGAATGGTAAAGTGGGCTTTGATGTTGGGCCTTGTGGCTCGTCCTAAGGTCCACCGGGGGTGAGAGTCTTCCAGGGCAGGTAAAATGCATGTTTCCCGCGGGTGAGAGTCTTCCGAGACCAGTGAATTGGGTCAACTTGTTTTCCATGTATCTTTTGATTGCACTGTTGAATCTTTGTTATGTAAAGTGCTATGGAAAGCTGGTTGTCTCCTATTGATTATCTCCAAATTTGAGCTGGATCAGACGGTGAGAAAATCTTCATTTGAGGCTGAACTTCTGACGGTCTGACTCTGAGCTGAAAAAGTGGATTTCTTTTAATAATGCCATCATTTTCCCTAAGTTTCCTGAAAAGAGCCTTCAAACTATAAATACATGAAAATCATAATAAAATTTCCTAAAACTGATTAAAACCTTTGAAAAATCATTTAAAATCAATAGTGAAAATGGGTACAAATACGATGTTATCAGTCTTCTGTAAATATGTGCTCGTCTTCTTTGATGATATTTTAGTAAGACGTGGAAGGAGCATCTATAGCATGTGCGAAGTTACTCTTGAAGCATTCTAAGTTTTCGTTTGGACAAACCGAGGTGGGTTATCTGGGACATGACATTTTACTAAAGGTAGACAAATCGAAGATTTCAGACCAGAATCAGTTTGCGCCGTTCGTGGTTTCCTTGGACTTTCAGACTACTATAGGAAATTCATCAGAGATTATGGTCTAATCTTTGCTCCATTGACGCAAATTCTCAAGAAAACCGGATTTCGCTGGGATGACAAAGCATAGACGGCTTTTGTGGCTCTCAAGAAATCTCTTTCCGAGTCACCGGTCCTAGTACTACCAGATTTCTCGCAAGATTTTGTTGTCGAATGCGATGCCTCAGGTAGTGGAATTGGAGCTGTCCTCCATCATTTTGGGCACCCGATAGCCTTCTTTAGTAGGAAGTTGGCAGATCGGCATAGTAATTTGGTGGTGTATGAATGCGAACTCATTAGTATTCCGAAGGCTGTGACACATTGGCGACCATACTTATGGGGACGCAGGTTTCTGATTTGGACGAACCACTACAGCCTTAAATTCCTGTTGGAACAGCGTCTTTCCAAATCCCCACAAATACATTGGATCAGAAAACTATTGGGCTATGACTTTGACATGGAATTCTGTTCTGGGAATTTCGTTCAGAGTTGCTGATGCTTTATCAAGACAAAGTAACAATGAATCGGAGGTGGAATTTTCTATCTATTTGTTGCATAATACAGAAAAAGACTGCTTGCACGCATCCGTCAAGAAGTGAATACTGATCCCAAGTTAGCTGAGTTACGCGATCGAATAATTCCTGGCGAGGAATCAAAAGCTTGGGAGGCAAGAGACAGGCTGATCTTTCGGAAAGGACGAGTTTATTTAGC